CACTAAAGTGGTCAACCTCAAAACCTGAAAATCTGAAGATCTGATCCATGGAATAGATGTTTCACATCGTAAATAAGCAAGTGAGAACTTTCTGTGAAGTTTATATAGATTCAAAATAAATAGACCAGCCTTATTGTACTCAACTGCCATGAGTCATTCCTATCAAATCTCAAGTCAAGACTTCAAGCAGGCAAAGGAGGGAACCTGAAAACTGGCATTCTTCTTGGAACATTAGTTAATTTTTAACTGGTGAAAAATAGGACTGTTTCTACAGCAAGAGTGCATTAGATCTTGCCTTTCAGTGGCAAAACAGAGCTTCCAAGTCCTTAGGCACATTATTCTCTTTCAATTGTTCATTTCCTCTCTGCTGTTCTGTGTGCAAGAAGTGAACAGATTATTATCACTCTAAATAAAATATTACAGTTCAAGAATTCATGAGGCACAGATCCATTTGCCTGTAACAGGTAAAAAAAGTTTAGAAAACAAGCCATGTGAATAACAAACCAAATATTTATAAAGATTTCCATGACATCACTTTAAAGTAACTTTTATAGTAACTTGAAATTTTAAAATAATTATTATACAAGTTGCATTTTTATTCCTTCACTGTTCTGTAAAGATGTTGCTCAAACAGCATGTGCTGTGATCCTGTCATCCCTCATCCTTCATCTGCCCCTCTATCATCTTAATATGTCAAAAAAAGTCTTTTAATAGTGGATGTAATGTGTCAAAATTATAGTCCTTTCCATGCTTACTCTTATTTCTTACATAGCTTCCTAACAAATGAGCAAACACTTCTTTCTTAGTGTGAAAGCTGAGATTAGTTTTCCACTTCTTAAGAGGTCCTAAAATTAGGAGATCGAGTTTGCAGTTACAAGTGAGCATCAGTGCCCTGGAGAGATTTTCCAAGAGGCTGGGTGGCTCCAGCCTTTTCCAGCTTTGAAGGACATGACTCATGAACTGAAAGCTTCCTTCAGATAAGCTGGCTATGTAACAACACAGCCTTTACAACTTGCAAGAAGTTTTATAACACATCATAAAGTCTTGCTGCAGAAAGACTTATGTTGTGTTCACTGACCAATGTAAATGCCATGTGATTGGAATGAGACATTAATAAAAAAGAATGCCTCAATATTTCTAGAAAGCAGAACATGTGATATCTGCTGATTAGACACTTGCAATTCTTGTGATTACATTTTTAATTCCTTCAGAGCTTACATATATCCATATCAAGCAGTCCAGCTAAATGGACCACCCATAGTTCTAAGAAATAATGGACTCAAAGCAACACAAGTAGGAGATAATAATTTTCTCATTCTACAAAAATACATTAAATAGCATGTGGAAAATAGCTCTTTAGCATGCAGTTTTCTAAAGTGTCACACCATGTTCTATTCTCACACTTGTTTTATTTTACTAACTCCTTGGTATCATCACAAAGCTTAAACTCCCATATTGCATATAACAGAGTGAGCACCAGTAAAATCCACCAAGTCCTATTCTTCCTTACATTTCTTATGCATTGCCAAGTCTGAAGTGACAACATCTCTTTTGAATGACATGTGGAGTAGATCATAAGTGGCACCCTTGGATGCTTTGGTAAAAGTAATTGCAGTACTCTGCCCAAATTCATCTGGATAATTACATGGCTCTAATTTGAATTTAGTTTGTTAGTTTTTGCTAGAAGAGTTCTTGCTCACTTCATCGTGCCAGCCTTTTTGCTTTTTTCCCCTTCCAGCAGTTAGTGAATTTCAATGGTAGTCGAAATAACATACTTCTCTTCAGGACATCAGGCATGGAGAGAATTGTGACAAGGCAATCTATTATTTTAAAGTTGTGTCAAGCAGAATTCACTTATAATTATTTAAGATGCGCAGGAAAAACATGTTATTCTTATGAGTTTGTGCACCTTACATTTTTGCAATTTACAATACAGCTTTACCAGAGTGCCTGCTTTCTATATTTTCCATGAGTTAAAGATGAACCAAATATTCATTTCTGTTCTCTCTCTCCAAAATACTGAGAAAAAAGTTTATATTGCCTTTACTGTAAGTTCAGCTCTGGCGGTTTTCTTCCTTTGATTTGTTTTTCCACACAAGTACTTCACAGGCTGGTAGCGACAGCGGGTACCAGCCTGCAGCCGGCGGATCGCGGTTCTGTTTTCCAGCGATTTTCTCTCCTCACCACAAGATGTCGGTGTGAACGATTTGTATGTGTTTCTCCCAGGCAGCTGTTGCGAAATGCCGTTGGATCCTATTCCTTCCCTTGAAAAAAAAAACCCAAAAGATACCGAGACCATAAATACGTGTGATTATCGAATGACAGCACGGGCTGAGAAGTTGAATTTCACTTTTGCAAAGAGCATCTCTGCAATACTTCCCACCTCAGTCGGTGGTTTCCCAGCTGCTGTGCAAGGCCTTTGCATGTAGAGACATAAGGAAAGAAAACCTGAGGGAGCTGGCAATGAAGGACATAAATCCTCCTCCTGCCAGATCTGCTCTAAAGGTTTAAAGTGACCTCGATGATGAACTGTTTTCAAAATGCATCGTGCCACTGAAGCATGCTGTAGATGTTTGAAGAGTATAGCAGCATAAGCATCAAAAGTTCCTCAGTACTGCGGCAACACATCCCTACTTAAATTTGAAAGCCTGAAGATATATTCTAAATTGCTGGGATGTTTTTATTTCAAGGATGTTTTATTTTTCCAGTTGACATATTCTCTGTGCTAGCAACAAAGAAAAGAATTTCCTGAGGTGGCAGAGAGGAGACTGGGACCAGGAGAGAGCAGGATGGGAGAGCAGGATTGGAGAGCAGAAAGAGGCCACATGGCTTCATTAACAAAATCTTTCTTATTCCCTATAGTAGAAAGCAGAAAAGGGAGTAGAAAGGAATCCTATAAACTTCTCTAGAGCTTTGTGCATTACATGAATTCAAAAGGTATTTAAAGCATCTTTCGTGCTAATTAGACCACACAGTTCCAAGTATGCGTGACATAGAGATTTGAAAAACTATCACAACTGTTTCTGGAAAAAGACATAGCTGTCCCACAGTGAGCTGCACCACAGTGGAGATTACTATTTTCATTTAAAGTGTACGTATAGGCAAGTTTACATTTTGTTCCAGAGAACATGAGAATAATTAAAATTTGAAAAAAAAACCAAACAGTATTCCTGCACAGTACATTTATTAATGAAGTGCAAAACTGAAGTAAAATCAGTCAAGCTATCATCACAGAATTCAGTAGGGACATCAATAACTTTGAGCAACCTCTAAAAGCATAATATCACAACCAACCAAGCATACTGCTTCACCTCAGGGTTAAAGTTTCCTCACCAAGTGAATCATTGGCTAACAAAACAGAAAACAGCTGCTAAGTAGATAACAGGCAACACTCCAGGTTATTTTTATCACTATTTTAGCAAGCCATACATTCGGAATTGCATTTTTAAATGATTTCTGGAGGACAGTTTCACACGAGAAGAGCCAACTGTTAGATAAAGGAGCATAGCTCTCTTTTCCCACAATACTCAATTAACGGTTGAACCTTTGATCTACCTTTGAAAATTTCCTTACCTTGTGATGCAGCCTTCATCAGTCTAAAATAAAATAGCAACCTTAGAACTTTAATTATAGATAAGTTTGGTAATCCTGCTCTGTTATCGACTCAATACAGAAGTTAATTTCTGATAGCTATTGAAATTCAAATGCCTCTTTCTTCACAGTCCATTACCAACCAAAGATGATAAACTGACTTGCCCTTTTCATGGTAATGGAAGATGTAAGGACAAGAGAGGGACAGAGCTCTGAACAATAGCCAAACAAGAAGCAATAGAAGTATCTCATTTGGTTATTTTGAGGAAAATAAACTCTTTTCACCATCAGTCACCATAGTGCATTCTGCTTTGCATTATCAAGCCCAGCTAGAGGGATCTTCTAACAGGCATACTAAAATTTGGAGATGGTTTTCCCTTTTCACTGTACTTTCCTCTTAGGTCTCATTAACCAGACTATTAACACTTGTGGATATTATTTACCCTGAGATGACACAGTAGGAGGAAGATCACAGCATAGAGAGCCTTTGAGGTCACCAGTCCTGCTTCCCAGACACATGTGGTAGATGGGATCATAGATTTAAGCTGTTAAATCCCAGAAAATGAAGGTTACTGCTACAATGGGATAGCATTAAGGATCTGGAATTGTCTTTACTATTCTGCTGGGGAAAAATAACTCTGCCCTCTCCTGGAAGCTGTGAAACATGAGCTTTCACTGTAATTCTCCCTGCACTCCAGCCTGGCTCCCTGACAGAAGGCTCTGCTGTGTTTCTAGGTCACTAAGAGTGCAGACTCAGTCCTGCAGGCACCCCTTCTTTGGGCAGTGATTGTTGCTGTTCCCTCCTCCCACCAATAACATGGTTAATCTTGCCTGTATTTCACCTATGCACGACTTCGGCAACAGCATCCAATTTGCTTGATAATTTTATAGTTTACCTAACCTGAAATCTGTCACATTCCTACTGTGAAGCTAGTTAAATCCCTTCCCTCAGTAACTTTGTATTTCAGTTAGAAGAATTGTATCTGTTGCTATGTAGCCCTTGGAAAAACAGAATCATTAAACTTTCACTTAAATAAAAGAATCTTTTATGTTATTTTTCTGCTGATTATTTGTAATGACAAATAGCACAATATCGCAATAATTGGAGATGCATTAGAATTTTGCTTTTACTACTAACACACAAACACTGTGCATGTGTTGAAGCCACTCAAGACCCCAGCACTATAAATAGAGCTCTATTGTTAGTGGGTAAAAGATGAAGCAAGTTTCCCAGCACTGGAGCACAAGCACACCCTATGAAATGCTGAGCTCTGCCCGTGCTAAAAGTGAAAGGAGACATCAACCGAGTAACCAGTCTGTGAGTAGGTCACACGGCAGGGAAGAGTCCTCTCTGACGCTGCAGCTTCCCCAGAGCAACAGGAGCAGCAGCTTTTCTTTCTGCTGTAGCGATGGCAGAAGCTGTTATAAGACACTGGGTGGAAACTCCCGCACGCTACCAAGAGCAGTTTGCTGTCCAAGAGCTGGAGGCACACAAACTGGACCATGCTTTGTTTGCTTTGCCGGGCCCTTCTTCAGCTGCTCTGAGCAACACAAGGTATATTGCAGAAAGTGCAGCGGGGGATGGGAAGAGTGGCCTGGAGGAGGAAAACATGCACTTTCAGGTCTTGCTGGACGTGGTGCAGTTCCGGCCTGAAGATATCATTATTCAGACTTTCGAAGGCTGGCTCTTGATCAAAGCTCAGCATGGACCCAGGATGGACGAACATGGTTTCATATCCAGAAGCTTTACCAGGCAATACAAATTACCTGATGGAGTGGAGAACAAAGACTTGTCTGCCCTTTTCTGCTATGATGGCATTTTGGTTGTTGAAATGAAGAACTCAGTGGGAAAGAATTAGAGTCTTGTCCATAGTTTATTGGTGAGATAAAACCATTCTTAATATAACAGAATAGTATCATTCAAGCAATGATGTAGAGTGTTCTAAGAATGTGGCTGTATCTATATTACAGTAACGGAAAATCTTTGTACATATTTTTCAGTATGCTGAGTTTACTGTTTGATGTGAAATTTTAAATTCCTTGCCTCCAGCTACATATGTGCTGGAAAGCCAGGCTTTTTGAACAGTAGAAAATTTAGGCTAGTCACAGAAAGAGGAGAAAAGTCTCTGTGATAACATATTGAAAATAAAGTACATTTATGAGTTCAGTTAGGAGGAGCTGTATTTCTAAGGAATAAGCATTTCTCATACATAGTCGTAATCATTAAAGAAGCAGTTTGTGAGTCTTATGGAAATTTAATTTACTTACCAAAAATTCTGTTTTCTGTTTTTTGAGATTAAGTTCTTCTTTCGTAGGGTCTGGAAAAGAACACAAATTGAACTATACTATCAAGAAAAAAATATCGTATTTCCACCATCCAAGCTTGCATACAAAGCAGCTCTTGAGAGATTACTTTTCAGATGTATGTTGCATTTTTGAAACTATAAGAAAAAAGAATAATCACTGACTGTATTTGCTTGAAAACACAGGAACTAGAAATGATACTTTCTGCCAATGACAAATTAATTCAAAAGAAAACATTCCAAGACATTTAGAAAATGGGTTTTATTTAATATACTCTGCTATTAGTAACTGAAGAAAAGGATCAAAAGTTTTCTTGTGAAGCCCTCGTAATAAAAGGGCATTAATCTAGCACAGATGTGTTTATTCTTATGCATTTTATAAAGGTATTTTTCAATCAGACCAATATTTTAATCTTCATGTTGCTTGACAGTTTGTGTTTTCAAGAACAAATTTTTCTGCCTATGTATAGTCCCACTGTCCCTACACCAATGAGGGCTCTACATGAGCCTTATTTTAAGTGCAGGGGTTGCTTACTACAGACACAGGTTTAGTTTCTGTGCCAGTTTCTCTCATTTCATGAGAGCTGTAGAGACCAAAAAAAATCCACTCACTATATGTAGTATCTGATCTTCTCAACTTTAAAAACATTAATGCTGTAAGTGAGTTTTTAACTACTCAAACATTTGTGCAGCGGCAAGGCAAACTGCCTCGTTTTAAGTATACAGGAGATGAGTGTGACTGCTGTGCTATGAATAGTAAAGGAATGTGGAATGGAAAGTGCTGAGTTAAATACAGACTCTTCATGATAGCCAACTGCTGTCTGGACAAATCAGAAACATATTCAATTGAAACTGAATACAAATACAATTTTAAAATATGAGAAAGATCTGACAGACAAAACCCAGGTTCTTGCTAGCTGAAGCCAGAGAGTTCGTTTAGTTAAAAACTAAAGTCCTAGCTTGTACTTCTGCACATGTCCATTCATTAGAAAGATTTATGTCATGGTTGTTTACACTAGAAGATATTTGAAGCAATTTACTTAGAAAAACAGGTAATCCAATTCTTGTATTTTATTTATTATTTGTGCTAAGACTCACAAGGAATTTATACAAGAAATGCAGAATAAGGTCTGGATTGTAAATTTCCATCATGCGCAAATATTTTATTTTTTGAGTAGACCAGAAGTCAAGTCAAGTCAATATAAAACTTACATCCCTACATTGCCATTCAACCCACACTTTTCCCTCATATAGTCCATGTTTCATTTGTGTATTGGTTTAAGATAACAAATCATCATGCTAGAAAACCAGACTTAGATTTTCAACACTTTTTGGTCAAGAAGCTTCCTCAGCCAGGAATCTGATGGAAGATGTAACATGAATTTTGAAAAAATAATTCTAAATGCAGAATTTACACACCAACTTTATAGGAGCTCACAAGTTTAGACCTATGCACCTCATGGCACAACTGCTGGCGTAGAGTTCAGGGTCACCAGCTAGTAACCTGCTTTGGTGATTTTTGTTTACAGAGGATTTTGTAAATTTGATCACTTAAAATTACAGGCTATGATAAAAATTATTCTCGCTATGATTGCAGTGATGGTATTCATAGCCCTAGAGATGAAAAAGCAGTTCTAAAAAAAACATAACTGATTTAATTCTTTCAAATTAGATCATGATTAAGCTACTGGAAACTTGGCAACATGTTAGACCAGACAGCTGAAATCATATTGTCTGTTCTATGTATGTTAATACCATGGTTACACACAGCCCTCCTTATGTACACAAGCCTGCATCACAAAACTGCATGGAGAATTTGGCATTTGGCTGTTGTATATCACAGGTCTCTTCACATCACTCTATGCCCACTGTTGTCAGAAGCCACTGACCCAAACATGGCAGAGACATACCCAGGCGGATTTCACCTTCCCTTGTACCCAGAGCTTTACCAAAGCTGCATCCATGCTCCTTGGTGAATGGGAACTCGCCCTGATCCAGCACCCACATTCTCGTGTAACAGGGACCACGATGGAGTATGGACCTGGTGCTCGCTTCCTGCGTTTTCACACCAAGAACAGCGCAAAGGAAAGTGCTTCTCTCCTTTTTTTCAGTGGCAGCTTATTGAAAGTTCCTGGATGAATGATTTTTATGCATTTACCAGGACGGACTCCAAGTACTTGGCAGAGCATTTCCAAATTGTCTGAAAAGAGCCGTTTTCATATATTGTATTTCACTTTTTACTTTCATAATCTGATTAGAACTGAATGTGAATGTCATGTGGAAAGCTGCTCATATTGCCCATGGACAGCAGAATGAGAAATTTATCAGCAGCAAAGGATTTCAGAACAGCTACACCTTAAGACAGGTTTAAGACATGCTGATGTGGTTAGTTTAAGAACCCTGATACTGGCTGCCTACAAAACCCCGGCCCAGAATAAGTGACAAATGCTGCTGCAAGCCCTGCAGAGCAAGTGTTATGGAGCCATCTCTGTTCCCATCAGGGAAGGATTACATTTGTAGTTGATCTGACTGCTTCTACAAATGGATAAAAAATATTACATGCATGAACATAAGTATTGTAAAAAATGCTTTCATAGAAGAAGAAAATACCTCAATATTAGCACTAGTATGTAACAGCAAGGCCACAGATATACACTTCCATGTGATTGCTATGGACAAAAAGCCCATAAATGGCTTGGACTTGTTACCTTTTTATAGTTTCTGCTGCATCCACGGCATATGAGATCTCTTTACACAGTCCGATACTTGTGATGCAGTGAACCACAGCTGATGTGACACCCATCCATGACTCAGTAACTGCTCAGCCACAGATCTGGGCATTGGAGAAGAGGGAAGGAAGCCCCTGGGGTATCACAGTGGCAAAATTCCCCCTAAGAGTGGTAGGTCTTGTGTTCCTTACTCAGTTCATACCCAGGAATCAAAACGTGGTTTTTCATCTGAGTAATGCTACAAGATTTGGCTTTTAATGGGAGTAGCAATATTTCTGAAGATATTTGGTGCACTTTCTCTTGTTTGAGAGATGCTGGCCTCTGTCTTTGGGACTATCAAAAACAACAGCTGGCCCCTGTAATCCAGAGGGCAGCATCTCAGTGGCCCTACACTGTGAACATACAGGGTAAGTCTAAGGACTTAGACCTGTACATTGTATCAAAGGTATCTGAGCTGACCCCACTCGTGATAAATCTGGACCCAGAAGTACTGTCCCTGTGTGCCAACTCAGGTCCAGAAAGCCTGGACTGTCCATTACTGAAGACTAAAAAATCATTACTTAATAAAAACACTTTAACAGACAGACACAGAAACGTGACACTGTAGCTCAGGACTCCCTGTTCAGGGTAGTGCTAGCATCATGTTAGGTCCTAACTCTCCATGCTACAGGGAACTGTAGCGTCACCACAAATGCCGTCAATCTCCTTAAAAAGGCGCACTCTTTAGCCACATGGTGATATTGCTGCTGTCAGTATATTCAGGGGGAAGTATGTGTGGTAGCTGCTTCCACAGGTAGGACTGACGCAAGTAGAGGATCTTTTACAGTTCCTCTCGGGCTCCTCAATGTGTTTGCTGTGCTTTGGGCTGGCCTCATCCCCAGTCAGTACCCCTCTTCTGCTGACAAAGCATGCCACTTCCAAGCCCTGAGAGCTAATGCAGGAGCAGCAGCAGGCAGGTCTGTGCACGGAGAGAAGACAAAAAGCTGTAGGACCAAGTTGGGCCTCAGCACAGAGACAGCAAGGAAGCCCATCAGAGGTGTCTCAGGCAAGGATGGGGAGCAGCAAAAATACTCCAGCTGGTTCAGATATATATATAGATAGAGGTTTTAAGGCATAATATTTAAACCTCCTATGAGAAATATTTGACTTTTTGATAAAATGAGCATTTTTAAGGGCTGAGAAAGATGTTTCAAATTTACTTAAAAAAATTCAGGCTGTGAATAGAAAAGAAATACCATGCATGGGCTAAACCCTTGCTGTGCTAGAATGAAAGAATAAGTCACCTACTCTCTTCAGCTGTGTTTCTTTCCCATTGCACATGTCTTCAATTTCCCTATCCATTAATCATACATTCCCATCAGGTAAGCAGAGATACCATGGCAGAATCTCCAGAATTTCCACTTGCTCTTAGCAGAGTTGGATGACATGGGAGTTAAAATGTGAGTGCCTATCTGAACTAGCCAACCCCAAAATTTCTACAGTCAAGTCCTCGACACCTCAAGCCAATTTACTGAGTCACTGTAAACTGTCAACATGTGCAGCAGTCCTTCACGTTGGCTTTTCATGGATCTTGATCACGCAGGTGCCGCTGTGCAGGGTACGTGCAGGTACCTCCAGGGCTGACTGGCATCCCACGGTCTCCCACCACAGCACCGATGCAATGCAGAGCTCAGCTGGCTGCTTCTGTGGCTGATTCAGGTGTCCAAATGGTACAACGCGAGTTGTTCCCTGCATGTGTGTAACTCCACATGAGAAGTAAGTTGGGATCAGAAGACATTTTGGATTCCAGTGGCAATAATTCCTTTATTATTGGTTTCACCCCACATT